GAACATTTCCAGCTAAAACAGATCCAAAAACAGACAAGAAAATAGAATATATAGTAAAGGTGTGGAGCATATAATAAAGCGTATAGTACGAATCAGTTCAGTTAACATTCACATAGACATACATATATTCAGAGATGCAATCATAATATTCACCTTCATATGCCAATCTTTGTTATTGGTAATGTAGTAATTCTCCACGCTGAGCCACCGAATCACTCGGGAATTGCTGCGTGCAATGTGAACCGCCACGGTCAGCAATAAAATATCCAATAATATCTTAAGAACCATGAGCCATAAGCTTACGCCCCCAAGATTTTTCATTATGACGAACGTAATCGATCCTATGCTCAAAAACTTAAACATTAGAACAACACAAAGTGGAAACTCGAATAGCCTGTGAAAGCTGTCGACCACTCGAAGAATCCCGTCGTAAATTTCCAGACACTTATCTAGGCGCTGGGCAGCTGCTTTTAGTTTCCTCCGACTAGCTGGAGTCCCATTAATGGTCTTCACTTCGTTTAGCTGCTGGCGGAGCTCGTGTCGTATATAACCGTTAACTTGATCGTAAATTATGGCAATGCTGAGGTATGCCACAAAGTAGACATTCAACATTACGGATGCATTGGCCGTATTATATAATTCGCAAATTGTGGTCAGCAGATAACCAGCATTTATATCAGATATCCTCCCTGGAATCAAGTAGCAACTCTCATATATCAGGCCGATCACTTTTAAGAGCAGCAAAGTCAGAACCCATTTGCTGCCATAGCAAACATCCTCAGATCTTCGAAGGGCATGTATCCTTTGAAAAAGTTTCAGGAAACTGTTGACCAAATCAACCACTCGATCTCCATACCAAAACTGTATCACAGCGGTGTAGACGCCACACACCACATATATGCATACACGCATGATTAGGATTGTCCTAATATGGGATGCTTTGAACGAAAACATTAAACTACTATATATGTGAATAAATTGGCCGCACATTACTATCCTTAAGATAAGGCAGATCCACTTGTACCACTTTCGATTCTTCGCCACCAGACGACCATCACTTCCAGTGCTCTTAACGCTGAAGCAGATGATTCCCATAACTGTGGCATAGTTCAAGGAACCTCTTAATATGCACACTGATACCCAAGAGGCGTTAAACTGCACCCGACGACTTCCGAACATGACTAAGCCAATAATGACTAGTCCCATAAGCTAACAGTAGTCATTTGTACGCAAAAAGAAATCGATTTTAAATATTTACCAATGGTTTAGGGTTGACACTGAAGAGACTTATAGATATATATCTCAATTTAATTATCTATTAGTTTTCTTTTCATAGCGTAATCATATGGGCTAATTGTAATATTTGAGATCAATTCTGCTCGACTAGTAGATATCCTGTACCCTGCGAAGAATTGATATACAGCTTTAAAATTCTCTTTCATATCTTCTCACGTCCGTTGATGTTGAATTAAATTACACATATACATTTTATTAATGACAAATAAAATCGCAGCATTCATTTCAAGTCGGATTTGATTTCATGTCATACTGTATTATATAGGTGAGATAGGTAGCTAAGCCGGACATAAAGACCAATATCAGCTGGTTGGATACTTCGAATAGACCCAAAGGACGTACTCGAAATTCGTTATAATTCAAACGGCATAAAAACATTTCCAGCTAAAACAAAAAGAAGAAATTTTGTTACATGCTATGCACTAAGAGGCAAAAGTCGTTTATTTATTTTGAATTTATTTCTCTTACGGCTTTGACTGCACATTGATTATAATTCAATAATAAATAAATCATTTTAACTAGAAATATGAGACTCACCTTCATATGCCAATCTTTATCAACGCTGACATAGTAATTTTCCAAACTGAGACGTTGAACAACTCTCGAATTGCTGCTTGCAATGTGAACCGCTGTAGTCAGCAATAGAATATCCAATAATATTTGAATCGTTAGTAGCCATAGGCGGATGCCTTCAGCTAAATTTAATGTGATGATGAAAGCAATTGTCGCCAAGCTTAGAAACCCATACGATAGAAAAATACATAATGGAAACTCAAATAGTCTGTGATAGGCGTTTCCCACTTGGGCAATCTCATCGTAGATGGCCAGGCACTCGTCGAGGCAGTGACCAACGGCTTTTAGCTTCCTCCGCCTAACTGAGAATCCGTGGCTGGAGTTTAGTTCACAAAGCTGCTGTCGCAGTTCATGTCGCACAAAACTATTGACCCGGTCATAAGCGATGCCTATGCTGAGGTACGCCACAAAGTTGAAATGCAATATTATAGCCGCATTGACAGTATTGTAGAAATCGCAAATCGTGGTAGAAATATGATAAGAATCCAATAATGGCATCATCACTGGGATCAAGTAGCAACTTTCATATATGCGACTGATCACCTTTAAGAGCAGCAGGATCAGAACCCATTTGTCGCCAAAGCCAACATCTTGGCATCCTGGAAGTGCGTGTATCCTTTGAAAAAGCCTCAGGAATCTGTTGACCAAATCAACAACCCGTTCTCCGTACCAAAACTGTATAACCAGGGTGAAGACGGCACAGGCTATATAGATACATACACGAAAGATAAGGATTATCGTATAATGTGATGCATTGAGCACATGCATAAAATTTCTATATATTTGAATATAGAGGCCACACATGACAATCCTTGAAATCAGGCAGAACCATTTGTACCACTTTCGATTCTTGGCCACCAAGCGATTATCACTTCCAATTTTCTTGACGCGGAAACAGATGATTCCCATAACTGTGGCATAGTTCAAGGATCCTCTTAAAATGCACGCAGATACCGAAGCGGCGTTAAACCGCCACCGACGACTTCCGAACATGACTAATCCAATAAAGACTAATGATACGAGCTAACGGGAGTCATATGTACTAAAAGTGAACTCGAGTTTATTTGTTTGATTGTTAAGGGTCGACGCTGAAGGGCCTCATTGATGTATATCTTGCAGTCGTAGATTAATTATATTGTTTTTTCAATGTTTTTTTACTGTAAATATTTAAAACAAATGTGGTTTATATAGTTCACTAGAATGATAAAATGTAGTGTATAATTTCGAGAATTGTTAAATATATATTCGACTTTAGTACATCGAAAATGGTCTGATAATTAAGTTGCTGTTGCTTAATTCAACAAAAAGCGTCAGAGGCTGCGCCTTTGGTCTTCATGATGAAATTGATTTCTGTATTGAATGTACTGAAATTGAAGGAATCACTTCTTATTGAACAACTTTTTTGACTCACCAAAAATTATAAATCGGTAAGTTATTGCAGGCACTAATGACTAATTCACAATATTCGACATAATAACGTCAATGTACTTCATGGCCCGGCCACTGTTTGTTGACCATGAAAGAGCATTATTGCAATCGATATCTATATTTAACATTCTTATTTCTTTATTAAAAATATATAATTTCGTAACTTTCGTTTCAAGTTGGATTAGTTTTCATGTCGTACTGTATTATGTAGGTGAGATAGGTGACCAGGCCGGACATAAAGACCAATATCATCTCGTTGGATACTTCAAAGAGACCCAAAGGACGTACTCGAAATTCGTTATAATTCAAACGACTCAAGAACATTTCCAGCTAAAAGAACAGAAGAACTTTTAGTACTTGTTTGCTGAATATTATGTACCTAGTGATTGAATTTAATCTGATTTCATAATTGAATTTAAAATGTTAATCTACCCATATGTAAATATGATACTCACCTTCATATGCCAATCTTTACTCTCGCTCACATAGTAGTTCTCAAAGCTGAGCAGCCGAATAACCCTCGAGTTGCTGCTTGCAATATGAACCGCGATTGTCAGCAATAAAATATCCAATAGTATTTTAATCGCCAGTATCAATAAGCGGATGCCGTTATATAGATTAAGCATCACAAAGAATGCGATTGACGCCAAGCTCAAGAACCCAAACAATACAATAATGCATAGCAGAAAATCGAATAGCTCGTGAAAAACCTTGCCCACTTTGTGAATCTCCTCATAGATGGCCAAGCACTCGTTGAGGCAGTGGCCAACGGTTTTTAGCTTCCTCTGACTAATAGGGATTCCGGGTCTCGAATTTACTTCGCTAAGATCTCGCCGAAGCTCATGTCGTATATAACTGTTGATCTGTTCATAAGCGATGCCTATGCTGAGGTATGCCACGAAGTAGGTATGTAGTATTATATAGACATTGGCTGTATTATATAAATCGCAAAAAACAGATACAGCTACAACACTGCTATACTCGAAAAATAGCAATGGAATCAGGTAGCAAAGCTCGTAGGCCAAGCCGATGACTTTCACGAGCAGTAAGACCAGCACCCACTTGTCGCCATAGCCCATATCGTGACATCCTGGAAGTGCGTTTATCCGTTGAAACAGTCGCAGAAACCGATTCACCACATCAACAATTATATGTCCATACGAGAACTGCATCATTAGAGTGGAGATAGCGCAGACAACACAGATGAAGAACCGACTGACAACGATAAACCTTAACTGTGAAATATTAATCGTGTAGATGAAATTGTAAATTAGGATACAATATAGGCCACAGATCAAAGTCCTTGAAATCATGCAGAACCATGTGTAAAACTTTCGATTCTTAGCCACCAATGGACCTTTACTTCCATTTCTCTTCACGCTGAAACAGATGATTCCCATAAATATAGCGTACTTCAAGGATCCTCTCAAAATGCTCGCTGACACTGAAGAAGCGTTAAACCGCCACCGACGACGTCCGAACATGACTAATCCAATAATAATAACATGTCAAATAGGTTGAAGGGTCTTATATGTACAGAAATGCACTCGACTTTAATTGAAGACCTCAATTGATAGATATCTGTAGAGTCCAACAAACTAATTATGCATGCATACCACTTGGATATATTTATAATATAAATTCCAAATTAATTTATTATTTTCTATATAGAATAATATATTAATATTATATCAAGTCAAATTTTTAAATCTTATTCGATTGCATGCCATATTGTATTATGTATGTTAGATATGTTACGAGTCCAGACAAAAAGACCAATATCAGCTCGTTGGAGATCTCAAATAGTCCCAGTGGACGCACTCGGAACTCGAAAAAATTCAACCGACCCAAAAACATCTCCAGCTGTAATGAATTGAAATACATGAGGATGACAGAGTTGTTAAATGGGAATTTTAGTACTAAATGAAAATAGTAAAAGTACTCTAAAGTGGGAAACAAATGAAAATAAAGTAACTCTTGACTTGAATATGCTCAGAAATAAATTCAACTTGAAATCATTTTGTCTCAAAAAATAATTATACTGGAAAAAAGCATTTTCCCATTCGCCATGACCCTAGTTGGCGTATCAGGGAAATCTTAGCGCTAAATCAGACGAGAGTAGACAGGAGTATATATTACTAATTTTTCAGTCTACAACTTCCATTACTGCAAAATGACTTGTGTTAGTATGAACAGCCGGACAGGCGGTCAGACTTATAATATACTATGTAGTAAAACTAATATAGCCTGTTTTCCCGTGGGTAGTGCATTCGTATGTTTGTGAATTCAGTACAATGAACTGTCATAAGATTGGCCCACAAACTTCAGGCTTACCTTCATGTGCCAATCGTTGCGTTCCGTTACGTAGCAATTGTCGAAGCTTAGTCGGCGCACCACGCGGGAACTGCTGCTGGCACCATGAATGGCCAGTGTCAGGAGCACCACATCGAAGAACAATCGAGCCACTAGCAACCAGAGCCCCACATTACGAAATCGTTGCAGCATAATGAAGTAGGACACCAATGTCATGCTCAAGAAGGCGAAGAGCAGTATGAGGCATAGTGGTAGCTCCATCAGCCGATGAAACGCGCTGCCCACCCGCTGGATATCATCGTAGATGGCCAGACACTGGTCCAGTCGGCAGCCAGCGGCCCTTAGCTGTCGTCGACTCACTTCACAGCCATTGGGCTGCTCCAGTCCTTGCAGCTGGCGTCGCAGCTCGTGCCGCACGTAATGATTGACCCGGGCGTAGAGGGCGCCCACGCTGAGGTAGCCCACAAAGCAGAGGTGACCGATCATGGTGGCATTGGTGTTAACGTATAGTTCACACAGTATGGTTACAAAGAGTCGCATATTCAAGCCGTTAAGCAATTCCGGAATTTCGCAGAACACTTCGTTCATGAGGCAAATCATCTTGAAGATCAACAAACTCAACTCCCGCCTGCCGCCAAAACCGCTCGCCTGGCTGCCGGGCAGCGCGTTGACCTTGCGAAATAGCCTCAAATAACTGTTGACCACTCGGAGCACATGTTGCCCAAACCAGAATTGCAATGTCAGGGTGACAAAGGCACAGATCAGGCAGCACACCAACCGAATCCAGGACAGTATAATCAAATGGGAGTTATCCAGAATGAAGATGTAATCCAGACTCAGATAGCCATAAATGACGCATATTAGCAAACGTGTTAGCAGACAGAACTGCTTGTACCAGAAGCGGTTCTGGGCGACCAGGCAGCCATCGGTGCGATTGCCCTCGATGCCAAAACAGATGATTCCCAGAAATGTGGCATAACGAAAACCTACATGCAAGATGCTCGCGGAGAGCGAGGAGGCGCTCAGCTGGCGATGCCGACCGAACATGACTAAGCGAGGGAATTTGCGGAATGTTGTAATGTTGCAGTGCCTGGCAATATTTATAAGCCCATGCACAGTCATACACACACATACATATACATTTATATGTGTATGAGTCTGTGTATGCATGACTGATTGCTTGGTCAAGGTCGGTCTACATATGTCCACTTATCTTGAGGGTTCATTAAGCTAATGGCAAGTAGGAATAATATTTTGATAAGGCTGCGGACTCCAGTGCGTTTTATTGTTATTGGAAATAATTTCATAGCTATTGAAAATGGTCTGTATTACGATAATTGAATTTAGAGCTAATATTTGCATTGCATATTCATTGATACGATCAAAATATTTACAATATTGACACATTCCATATCACTTTAAGCTTATGTATCCAAACGTATACTAATTATACAAACAGGGCAAACTGCATCTCTAATCTCTGCACTCTATCTTATCATTCAAAGATGGAATATGCTAAGGTCTCTACTAGTATTAAACATATTCAACATTTATAGTATTTTTGTATAGTATTTAAATCACTTAAATCAATCCAGATAAAAATTTTAATGATTGGTTTCATGTCATTATACCATCCCAAAAACTTTGGCCACGATTGTTCCAAGCTTCTAAAAAACTAATAATGAGTTGTACCTTATACTTTTAGTTACCTAAGCTAATCCGTTTAAACTTGGGAGCTCAAAATTATTTTTTACTATAAACCGAACTTAACCCCGTTTTCTCTAAGTTTTACTATTTATTTATTTATTTATTTATTTATTTATTTATTTATTTAGATTAGAAATTAATCTAAAATTAGGACTAACTTAAGAATTAGGCAATTATATGTACTCTATAGATGAAATTTAATAATAGATATCGTAGACATATACATAAGTATGTACGTATGCACCTGACTAGAGTTTTAGCTTGGCTGTTCCCCCATTGGTTTTCGATTCACACGCTCACGATCCTGCCTGGTGATATTGTTGTTGTGCTGTGAGCTGACGGTCTAAGCTCCCCCATGTAAATGACGCCCCCATTTCATGGGATGCGTGTACGTGATCCTCTGGCATATCTTTTATGCTACATCTTCTCTCCTACTCCTAAAAATTGTATATGTCTGTGCACGATTACAGCGTTCAGTGATTTGCGTCCAGATCGGAGAGATCTCTCAAGCTGCTTACCTCAGACAGCGCCCCTGCCATTGAGTGCCATTTGAAAAGAATTTTCTCATTGTTGTTGGTTTTTTATACATTTTGTAGGTATATATATATTTTTTTAGGTAATTACAGTAACAACAAGAGGAGAGTGAACAATGCGAGGCTAGGGGACAACGGACGAGGCACGTACATTTTCCAGCATTGTACGAAAATTGTGGGAACAATCACGAAATGAGCACTGGAAACCAAAAGTGCTTTGCATGTTATGCTTGCTGTTCATTTTGCGCAAATTGGCTTGGCTCAACTCAAGTCAGCTCAGCTCAGCTTGGATCACCTTGGTTTCGGTTTTGGTTTTGGTTTCAGCTTTAAAATTGCGAAAGCCAGCTCCGGCCCGGGCCGGACCAGACCAGGCCAAACCAAAGGAAATTATGCGAAGCGGCTGGCCACAACTTGGTCAGCAGATTAGAGCAAACCGAGGGCTGCTAATTGCTCAGCATGACCTCACGTCCAAAGGCAGACACGAAGCCTCAAAATGCGAAAGAGAGGCGAAAAGAAAGAGAGAAGGAGAGTGATACGTGTTGTTGCTAGGTGAATGGGTGGTGCCATAAAAGCAGGCAGCTTGCAGCAGGGTTGATTGATTTTTATTGTGGGGACAGTGTGTATGCATGTGTATGCATGTGCATGTGCGTGTGCGTGTGTGCGTGTGTGCCAGTGATTCACGGCCTTGGCTTGCTTTTCACGCTTTTCCAGCCATTGCACTTTTTGAATGATCTCTGACATTAATGATGATTAATGAAACGCAACGCTATTACATTTTTCCCCTTTTCCACTATTTGCTATAATTTATTGCGATTTCTTTTTATAGTTCCCGTTTTCTGAGCCCCGTTGCAAATATGTATGTGAAAGCCGCGAAATAGAAAAACGACAAAACAGCGAATGTGTGTGTGTGTGTGTGTGTGTGTGTGTGCGTGTGTGTGTGTGTGTTGTGTGTGCGTGAGTGTGTGCGTGTGTGTGTATCCGTGTGCTTTGTGCGACTGTAGCTGCACAAGTTTTATGGCACCAGAGGCTTTACCGTTACGGCATAGTGAAAAAAGCTGGCTGTGTCATAAATTGTTGTTGTTTGTTTTGTGTGTGCTTTGCTTTTATAGCGATGCCAAATGCAAAAAGATGCAGGCGAAAATGCGGCCAGCGCGACTACTCGCTCGTTCCTTCACTCTTTGCTGCTCTCTGTGTACGTGTTTCACCCTCTCTCTCTCTCTCTCACTCTCCAATAGCTTCTATGACGATATGCGTGCGAGCGTGCATGCGTGTGTGCATGCGCGTGTGTGACTGCATTGCGAATGCGAATGCCAGCATTAAAAATCTTGAAATTACATGCTAATAACCATACCCGTGCAGCTACTTCCATAAGTGGGCAAATAGTATGTTGGACATGCTTGTTACTAAATGCACAGCATGTAATTTAGTTTTGCGAAATGCCATTATTACATAAAGACATACGAATTGCCGTAGATACATTTGTATGTACATATATACGTATACTTACATATGTGGTTAAATACAAACATACATGCATTCACTTCCAATTGAACTCAAATAGTTACTGTTGCGCAGCTTAGATTCCAAATGCGCATATACACATATGAATGTACATATGTATGTATGTAAATGCACACAGCCTCGAATTGAAGCACTCATGCACGCTCATATACGTATGTACATATGTATGTATACGTCTATGAGAGCGTTGGGCGCATGGGCCGCCAACTGAGTGGCCGCTCTTCAGGCAGCATCAATCTTCATCAAGCCGATGCCGTCGCCGACACCGGCGCTGACGCCGATGCCGATGCCGACGCTGACGTCGTAGTTTGCCTAAGGCCTGCCGGAAGTGACAGCCAATCTAATGTTAAGTGCCCACTCCACGGGCTACACACTCATTACAACTGGAAAGCATTTTCTCAAATGTCTGCAGGCAGCGTTGGATACAATGTGGCACACACAGAAATACACTTGTATATAAAACGCCGTACAGTAGAGCTTCGACATGAGAAACACAGTCAAAAATATACATATACATGTATATGTATATGTTTAAATATCTTAATTTGTAAGCATATAAAGAAGGAACCAATTAAATAAGTATACTTACATAATATACATCTACATATATGCATAAATATGTCCCGAATCTGAAGAGAAGCCAGATATGAATCTGTAGGCCATACAGTTTTCTATTTCCAAGCAGACGTCATACAAAACAATGCTATGAAGTATATTGCAGCGGTATTTCACTGTAGCAAACAGTTGCCCTTGCTTAGGACCGCTTCATACAAGCATTCGAAAGTTTCGCTGACTCATTTTCGTTTTCCCTCCACTTAGGCACTCACTTTTCTCATTTCGTTTCACACGAATCACGCTATCAAGAGCGCCCTCCCTCCCCATAGAGAAATAAAAAGCTTTAAAGTATTTTTTACATTTGAATTTTGTATCTTTTTTTCTTGTATTTATTTATTTTTTTTTTAAGATTTTTAACTTTTTGCTAAAAAGTACATTATACAGTTGTTTTGTAGTGTGTTGTGTAAGTTATACAATATTTAGTTTCATTTAAGGAAATATGCACAGTTTGTGTTGTTTTTGTTTTTTGTTTTTGTTTTTCTACTTTAAGATTTTCTCTCCCCTAAAGAATGTCAATAACAATGTGACAGTTCGTCTTTAGTAGAGCTTACAATTTTGTTTACCGTAATGCGAATTAACATATTATACACAWTTAACAGAGAATAATAATAATAAAATAGTCAAAATAGTCTCTGTAGTTCGTTTGCTTTAAATAATTTCAATTAATAAATTACATTTAGACAAAATAATGTACAATTTTTTATTGAGATCATGACAAACTGTAAATACTTTCGGCACACGCGTGCAGCAGAAGCCGGAAACACGCTGAGAACGCTTTGAAATTGGGGGTTTGTTATTAGTAATTAATTTGTAATGTTTTTTTTTTTTTTTTTTTTTTTTTTTTGAGTGTGCGTGTTGGTGTGCTGTCGTATTTGAAGCCCACTAAATGTACTGTTAAGTCTTGGTTTTGTTTAAACAAAAATATACACATATAAAAAAAACATAAGTTAAATAATAATAAAAAAAAATATGTAATAAATATCAATTATTGCAGTTATTGTTCCTACACCCTTTGCACATCCTCTTCTCCCCAATTGGCCCAATTTCGCTATTATGGCTATCAGCCTCAACGTGGTCGCTGCTGATCTGATTAATTTTACGTTTTGGCACTCTCGAATCTCCTTTGTAAGCTTTGCGCACAGGAAAGTTGCCTGCAAATGAATCCAAACAAAATGCTATAGTTAGATACAGTTGAAAAAAGTGTCTCTGTGTGTGTGAGTGTGTGTAAATAGCTAAAGTATAAACGGCTGACCTTCAAATGCGAACCAAAGGAAAAGGGAAAGCGACGACGACAAAAAGCAAATGCAAATGCAAAGCAAAACGCAAACGTTGACATTTACCACAAACAAACTGCAACAGAGTAAGCACACATGCATATACATATGCACATAAACACAACATACATAGAGCTCTCTTATCATGGACTATGCATGTGTAGGTGCACACGCTTCTATTATACCCTGCACTAAATGTACATGGATAAACGTATTCACATACATAACGTGTGTTTTGTTGTTATTGCCAATTGTCAGCAATCGGTGCTTAACCTTATCATACATACATACGTACAAATGATATGTATAGAAAAATTTAAGTATAAACAAGTAAGAAGACTCTAGTCGAGAGTGCTCGACTAGGAGATACCCTGAACTCTCTAATCTGATATTCTAATCACTCTGCACTTTTTTCGGCACACATACATACACATACACACGCACGTATTAGAACACACTCTGCTAACTGCGCAGTAAGCAGCGACTGCGCTTGGGCTGCGCTGCAGTGTGGGCAACATTATAAGAATTTATTTGTTGAATATTTTTAATTTCTAGACGTACAATCTTAATGAAACTTTCAGAGCGTAATCATATGGTGAAAATGTATGTACTTTCCAAAGCACAAGTCTCTAGTACTTTAAATACGCCTTTTAAAAAGGTGATAGTGAGGGGGTGGATATAGGGGTGTGGGGTAAATTACAACAAAAATCGAAATGATGTCAAATAGATATAAGTCTACATTTAAAATTTGCAAGCACTAGCTCTAAAAGTGTAGGAGATATAATTAAATAACTAGCTTTCGATAAGGTTTTTGATCGATAATAAATCATCGGGAGTAGTTATCGATATATAGAGAATAACTCGATATGCGCGTGATATACATGGAAAAAATTTTCAAGTCGCTAGCTCTTATATCTTCTGAGATCGACGCGATCATACATACGGGCGGACGGACAGACAGACGGACAGGGCGAAATCGACTTAGCTCATCGCCCTGATCAAGAATATATATACTTTGTGGGGTCTGCCACGCCTCCTTCTGCCTGTTACATACTTTAAAAATAACCTTTATACCCTGATTTCCCATTTTCAATGGGTTCAGGGTATAATAAAATCGAAGCGTTATTATTTGGTGAATGAACGTACACATCTACAAACATACATATGTATGTATAAGTATATCATGTTCATGATTCCAAGTAACGTACTACTCTTACTCAGTCTTATAAATTAGCCATTTCTTATGTGCGCAATAAGAACTACCTTGAGAATAGCCATAGAAGCTAAGCAGACGTAGCAACTACATTTGTCGTGGGTGCTTTATTTCACATAATATAAAACTGGTATGAAGCATTTCATGAATACATTTTCGACTCAACTTTACTCTGGACATTTATAATCTATGACCCGTTTGTATATGTGTATATTTAAGCGGGGGTTTTCTTCCGCTATATATTGTCGAAAAAAAGAAAAGATAAAAATAGAAATGTAAAAATAATAATAAAATTTTGTATATACATACATATGTATATGTATGTATGTACTTCAGGCTCAGCCAATCGGCACGCGCTCGCTTCTTCTTCAAAACAACACCTTAGAAGAAGAACAAGATGATGAGAGAAATGCTAGAGGCATTGTAAGCCATTTACAGTTACAGAAAATTATAAGCCGACGACAACAAAGAGCGTCAAGCAATGCGGTCACTGAGCAGGCGGCGTTGGCGGCAGACTCCCAGTCGGTGTCGGTGTCGCTGTCGCTCATTTCAAGCATTGTAATTTACCGTTATGGGCACGTAAAGCTTCTCAATTCATTAAGCGTTTACAGCGCTTTCTACTACAAACGAAGTGCACAACAAAAAGAGAAAGAAAGAAAGAATCCGCGCCAGATAGGACGGTGAGACGACAACAAAACGCGTTTTGTTTACGAAATGTGTGTGTAGCGAGACATGAAACAGGAACGGAGACGACAACATCGCATAACATAAATATTTATAAGCACATGAACATACACATATGTATATATATACATGCATGCATACATACATATAAGTATGCATATGGTTGAGGCCGTGAGAGTTGCTGCATACATACATAATTAAATCGGAGGCGTGGTGAAAACTCGAAAGCAAAACAAAAAGGCAAACAGCTCGAAGAGAAACAAAACAAATGCTTCTAACTGTGAAGTACAGTGGTGGCCAAAACATGGCAAAAACGATTGAAAAACAGAAAACATTGTCTCAAAGATAAGAAAAGCTCTTCGATTTATTAGGTAGAAGATGTATTCTACTTATTCAAGATTCCATAATCATCATAAGTAAATATATGTACATGTACATTATTATCATCTAGAATGTATATGTATATCTTAATTAAAATAAATATAAATAAATGAACGAATAGTTGAAAAATTTTAATAGATACATCATATAAAATATAATTAAACCGTAACTCTCCATATACCTAATATGCGAATTAGTATATGGAGAATTCTTCCCAGTTTGTAGCTGGACCTGTCACAAGCGACAGACTCTGACGCTGCTGTACGTACGCGGGGCGCGTGACCTTCACTACGAAAAACAAGTAAGAATTTAGCAGTCGGATGGTATCGACTGCATAATGCTTATTCAGTGTCAAAACTTTACTAGCTCCATTAGTATATCGTAAATGAATAAGTGAGGTCAACAGTACTTTAATCATTTAATATTGAGTTCACTACATACATATATAGCCACCCCCCATGGTTGTGATGATATGGAGAAATATCTGGCCGAATTATAAAAATCTATAAATTATTTTTTACAAGGGTATTCATTAAGAATTTCAAGTCTCATGTTTCAATAAGCGGTGGACATATCATAAAACTAATATGCCCCTTTTCTACATGCGTGGCCCACATACCTACATATAGATATGTTTAGGCGTACACACGCTTACGCATAAGTCAATACAAACGCGCTTATCAAAACGTATGTATATACGTAAGTTTGTATATAAAAAACAAAATCACAAATTGGCGCCAAAACAAAATTTCATAGGCGACAGTGCAAAACAACACGGAGCGGACGATTTCTGCTATTCTCTCTCGCTCTCTTTTATTTAAGAGTCTGCCCGATTGTCTGGCACTGTGTAGCATGTGTGCTTGTTTGTGTGTGTGTGAACTGACAAGACCCGTGTATAAGAGTCGTTGTGGGTGCGGTTGAGAAGGAGCAACAGCAATATACAATGTACAGTCGTGTGCCGTCTCACTTTTTTCATGGTTTTTTATTTTTCATACATACGTATGTGTGTGTTGTGTGTGCGGCAACAACAACCGCAGAGAGCGCGCTGACAGAGATTTCCATTTTAATTGAGGCCTCTCGATTAATTGCTGCACTGCAGCTGCATTCGCTGACGCAATCACTTGTTTTTTTTGTTGTTGTTTTTTTTTTTCATTTCGATTCTATTTTTTGAGCAAAAATTAAGCAAATATTGCGATAGATATATCTATATAATATATATATATCTATATATGTATACACATATGTATTGACACTATTAATTTTTGGCGCGAAAAACATTTTTGTCAATTGACGCTGTCAGCGTCAACACCAATCGCACTGTTGTTATTTAACATTTTTCTTTTCTTCAATTTTATCTCTATGCTTGCTTACTATTGATAATCTGTTATGAATGGCAATGTTGTGTGGGGGGAAAACAAGTCAAAGCGAAGTCGTCTATCAAATAAGGGGGAGCGGACAACACTCACATAGAGACATAAATACATACATACACATATTAATATACAAAAGCGCTAAAAATGGTTAATGTGAACGCGAAAAGTAAATGCCTATCAAAACAAAACAGCGAAAGCACGAGACTGAAATAAAAAAAAATAACATTTATTTGAGGCGCGAATAGCCTCATAAAAAGGGACAAAACTGTGCGAAATGAAGAACAAAGCAAAATCAGCGAAACAGCAGTAAATATTGACATGAGTAATGAAAATAAGTGCAAAGGTTATTGAATTATTGAGCGTCTGATAATAAGCTTGCCAATTTATAGGACAGTGCACCTGAGAGAGAAGCTGAACGAGAGAGAGAGAGAGAGAAACTTTCTTTGGATTTATATAGCAATAATTTTAATTAAAATTGTAAAAAATACATAAACAGCAAAAAAGTGAGAGCGAAAGAGAGACAGATAAAGCTTCTTTGGTTTTATTTAGCAATATTGTCATAATAAAATTAAATGAAGTATGAAACAATTTATTAAAAAAATGTTTTTTTTTTTTTCAACTTTGTTGCACATTCGATTTGTTAAATATCAGGTGATTTTCGATTGGTACAACTTACGTTTAACGCTGTTTTTTTGTGCAACTAGAATTACTTGTTGCGCTTCCAAGTCCGCAAGTTTAAAACTTTTCTTTTCGCTAATGCTAACGATAAACGTTTGCGTTTTCACAGGCTCCACTGAACTCAGCTGATTGCACTTTTCCTCTAATTTATCGAGATCTATGTTATAGCGCTCCGCCATGTAGTGGACCTGGCGAGAGTTCTCCTCGGCTAGAAGGGCGTCGATTTCGGCGCTGGCACACGTACCGAACAAATTCCGCCTTTTCGCCTGCACTTCCGGAGAGGACCTCGAGGGGTGTGGCTCGAAGGCGGCTAATGGCTTCGCCACCGGTGGTACCAATATAAACGATGGCATTTTGTTCACACAATTCACTTTTCTTTTTTGGTTTCTATTCGCAATCAGATTTCTCTTAACAAGCAAATGTGTGTGTGTTTTTTTTTTTTTTTTTTGCCACTAAATGCAAACAAAAACAAACCACACGAAATCAGATGGTGCTGAAGTCACGTACCGTACGGAGAAAGCATTGCAAGCTGCATGTAAATGAATGCAAATTTCTAACGATTTGTTAATTTATTTTTAAATTGCTCTTGGCATAGTTTCAATTTACTATTATTTATTTCTGTTCAGTTTGTACGCGCGTCGAAGCCGAAAAACACACTGCACACGGATCAACCACTACCTAACAATTCGATGGTTGAAGCACGAATGAGCGTTTCGTTACGAAATTGCTCTTTCAACGACTCAGCACATATTCTGTTAATAACATTTTATGTTAACAACATTCAGAGAGAAAAATTTCAGATTCTCTTTGTTAGCGGTAAGAGCGTGGTGGTGAATTTGGAGTCAGCGATGCGTTAAGAGCTAGATCGCTTCACAAAAGAGCTAAATCTTGTGAAATCAAACAAAGACATTTAAAATGTTGCTGATACATTCTCATTTTTCGCGCCAGATCATTTTTTTTAGTTCTAACAAACTTTTCTTATTCATGAAAAACAAAACGAAAATAATTGAATTTTTAACATTATACATTTTAAATGTTTACATTGATAATAAATCTGCCAATAGATAGTCTACAGACTCTTCGGTCTCATAATTTAATTATTCCTTGGCTGCGATCGATTTGAGGCAGTTTAGAAAAACTCTCTTATCAAAACATCATCTGTTATCTTGGCTCAATTCGGATGTAAAATTTAAAAAATATTAGTTTCTGTTTTAATGAGACTATTTCTTCAAACCTTTACCTTATGGTTGATACTGAGTTTAACGATTCAAAGTTCATCCTATTTCTTATTTAATATTTTATTAAGTTGACTTGGCTAAAGACCCTTCAACTTCGGCATTCCACCAAGGTAACGAATGCATGCGAAGCGCAACAGCAAATAGATCTAACCACTATATGTTAGAGATGAAAGTATTGCAGAGCTTGCGATGTTGGCCAGTTGCCAGCTTGTCAGTTTGTCTATTAATCGGTCCCTAATATCAGATATTAAATAAAATGTGTATTAGCTGATTCAAGTCATAAATAAACCACATTTTCCGATATCCGCAATTTCCAAATTTCTTTCGCAATCACACTTGAAAATAGGCCAGATCCGGCCGAAAATAAGCCAAAACGGCAACACTGACAGTTGTTGCCAGATTTTGAAAGGCGCAGTACTAAGTACTTGCTTGTTTACTCTCTACATTTGAGAGCGAAAATGTTCTCTTAGTCGCTGTTATTTCAATGTGGAGTTGAATTGGCAGCATTTAACAGAGGCTAGACGATTGAGTGAGACTTGAGATTTTATATACATATGTGAGTATGTATATTTGTATGTTCATTACTTTAGTAAATCTTACATTGTTTTGCGTCTATTGTTGTTATGGGTTAATGTTTTAATGATGTTTAGTTCCTAGTCCAAGGTCAAAGCCAGTTTCATGCAGCATTAAACGGCATAATTAGTGAGTCGTGTTTACAAAATAAATAAATTACAAATACTACGAACAAACACTTTCGCGCTTTAAGCGTTCGTTCGAGCGTTACCCGCAAACGAAAGTGAAAACAGCTTGAAAACGACATAGAAATATTGTTGTGTGTATATGTGTGTGTGAAATTGTGTAGCGTATACTGTGGGCACGTTACTGTTATACGATCGTGGTAGCGTTTTTCGCGTCTGCTTCGTTTGTGTGTTTTGCTTTGACCAAACGTTATGCCACGCTTATTGGCTAAATGGATTGATCATTTACCCATTTATATATGTATGTATAATTCACAGAACTCTTTTCGATTTGGGCACCAATTGCTACCTAAAACTTACCTGCCCCCAACAGACAGCGTATGCAACAATAAGGGTGCGGCGCGAGGGTTGTACACAGGTCCATGCAAAAATCAACCCTCGCGCCAAAAAAAAAAATGAGGCATATTGCGTTCGGGTGGAATCAACTACAAAATACTCGCTCACATTTGAGTCTATCCAATGCTAATGGCAAAAATATGTACCTGTATTTATAATTCTTTAATAAAACGAACAGTAAATAAATACATAGTAGCTATATCGCTCGCCTTAAATATAACACGAAACGGAAATATCTCTTTACCTGGCAAGCGAGTATATGCTTAGAGTGGGTCTCAAATCGGATGCGTCATTTTCATTGAAAATGCGTTTAGCCCACTTGGTTACAGCGCCAGTTGCTCTGCCCACACGAGCACCCACAGTCACACGTATACATGAATATGCATATGCAAGTGTGTGCGTGTGTTACATTTACACGCGGGCTACGTGACCGCCCTGCTATTGAGCGACTTTTTTCCTACTACGCAGCACAAAATCAGATGCTGTTGTGTATTTGACGATTTGTTGTTTCGGGTTTTTCGTTCACTTTGTCATCATCGGCAACTCGTGCAATAGATAGAACGCATACATACATACATACATATGTACGTATAACGCAGGAGGCAGGAGGCAGTGTGTGGCACGCGAGGCATGCCACAGACATTAACATAGTTAGAGACAGAGGGTTAGTTTCCTTTCTTCGCTTTGTATCTGTGCCCTGTGTCTACGTACATGTGTATGTGGCTGTGTGTCCCGTTGCTGGGCGCTGACGTCACGATCGCCCAATTAATAAATGAGCTCATTAAACAAATGACCCAGCCTGCATTGTGTATGCGCGTGCATGCGTATGTATATGTGTATGTATGCATGTGTGTACATATGTGTAACTGCGCATTACACACGTAGCAACACAGGAATACTCAGAAAGGGAGCTGTGGTGGCATCTACCAAGAGACTCAATCTGAAGTTTCTCTACAATCTACTCAAATCAGGAGAATATGTGGGTGTACCAATTTTTATCGACAATAACTTATAATTAATAAAGAAATAAATGCATAAAATAATACATATAATAGACACAGTACACGAGTATATACGAGTTTATGTAAATTTAAAATTCGCAGCGAAACCCCATTTCCAATGTGTTCAGAGCATAAAAAGTATCTAGCAGATGCATTAGGGCCGTCGACAATCTATTTTTAGTGCGTGGGGCGGCTCGACTGCGACTGGGTGCATTTCGAAACGTGGCGAAAGTGGGATCGGCACTCGCTGCACATCACTGTCGTTGTTGTTGTTGTTGTTGTTGTCGTTGTTGTTGTTGTTGTTATGGTTGTTGCTGCTGCTGCTCCCTCTCAGAGATAATAAATTTGGCGCACAGCTGAGAAATAATCATGCCCCGACAATGCGGCGCGCGTCGTCTTCAGTGTGCCCTCTGTTCTCATTTTGTTTCAGTGTATTTGTGAGGCATCTGTAAATTTTGCGCCAATTTGTGCGGCTGCTGCTGCGCTGCTTCCCTGGCGAAATACCTGCTGCCAATTTTGAGCGAATTTTTGCGCCAAAAACCAAAACCAAAACCTGAATCAGACGCAGCCGGGCACCGGGCACCGGGCACCACCTGGAACTCGGTCACCTCTTCCCGCCAGTCCTTCCGGGTCCTGAACATGTTGTTGAGCCGCAGCTCATGGCTGAACAAGTGCTTTGGTTTTTTTTTTTTTTTTTCTTACTCCTCTTGTATTCTTCTGCTTTGTCTGATACCCTGTAAATGTATGTAAGCCCATAAAAATGTCGGCAACTATTTATAAATGCAATGAAATTGATTAAATACTTATGATTAAATATAAAGTCACACTAATACGAATACTAATTACACGCATTAATGCCCATAATATGACAATGCTATTAATTAGAATTCCAAGACAAATTTTTATTCGCAGCTGAAGCCGTAATTGCGCCCAACTATGATGCATGATGTTTATACTTCAGTAATGAGTGTTTATACTTCGATCCGGCCATTAAGCAAATTGATATTCAAAGATAAACAAATTAGTATCATGTTGCTTTAGTTGTATAAAAAATGCAATTAATCAATTAATGATTTTTTAGATCGAAAATATTGCGCAGCAGTCGTATAGGGTATGTGTTAGTTGCGACTCGAACTGTGCAGCAGTGCGGCTCAAAGAGAACGCAAATTCTTGTTTTTCAAGAGAGGGAGGGGGCGGCAGGCGGCTAAGGGGTAAGGGGTAGGAGGGGTAAAAATAACATCTGCTCTCAAAAGGCCGGAATGCCTTCAAATCGACTGCAATGAAGAAGCAGCAAATCCGAACTCTCGTTCTAATGTCAAGCAAGAGACATTGAGCAACTGTAATTTATATGTACATATGTCTACTAAATATGTATATACATTAGAGATATACATATATGCATTCTATATACATATGTACTATTATATACATATATAAATAGAAAAGATTTAATTGATTGCTTTTATAAAATAGGGTTACAAACTATTTATAGTTTGAAAAAGTATTAAAATTTTTATAATCGTATATTATTATTGATGAGCAGAGAATATTTTATTTATAAATAAAACCGAAAGTGAGAAAAGTGACACTAAATACATATATCTAAATACATGTATATACATTAGTTTGAGTTTATAATTTGACTTCGTTTGAAATTACTAGTAATCATCTCAGCTCAATCTAAATGAAGTTTCTGTTAGCTTTTTATACCACTGTAGAATGCTAAAAATATCCAAATCTTAACTAACTAACTTATGGAGTATAGTTTTTAAACAAGTCCATGAAAGAAATGTCGTAATAGAGACACTCGAGTTCCAAGGGATCGAATTCGCTGGACGAGCATCGCATGTACATACGTATAATGCTAGAAGGAGAAGAAGATCTCCGCGTACGACAATCGAGTACAGAGCATTTATTTTAGAAATATACACCCTCGCCTTCGAGATCTGTGTGAAAGACAACAGACGTCGGCGACAGATTGGTTTTGGCATACGATCAATAAATATAGATACGATCCACAAAGGGGGCCCTCCTAAAAAGTGCAAGCAAAGCTGGGCCTAACCGATTCTACACGTATACAAATACAAAGATATATGTATGTATGTACATGTATGTGTATGTATGCATGCGTTCGTTCGACAAGAACAGTTCCGGTTCGTATATCAGCTTCCACACGTTTCACATTTGTAATTGTCGTCGTTGTTGTTGTCGTCCACAGTGCTAATTTGGTTCATTTATCTCGGCTTTCGGGCAGGCACATAAATATACATACATACATATACATAAGTACATACAGATATTGCTCTATGTGCCTGGTTTATTTTGGGGGTACGCCTAATTGCAATAGTTGCCCGCTGTCTGAGAGCTCATAAATCTCACGCGCCTCCGATTGCAGCGCTGATTTCGCTGCGGCTGTGCGGAGTGTCCAGTGTCCAGTGTCCAGCGTGCAGTGGCTAAGCGCATAGATAGCCACGGCAGCCGCAATTAGGCAAAGGCAAAGACAAGGGCAACGGCAAAGGTGATCTGGGAGTTTGTCGCGCTCTCACAGGCCAGGGACCCACCCAGCTGGCCCGTTTCGAGTGACCAATGTCCAGCTCATAATTCACGAGGCGAAGGAACGAGTTGCGTCTGTTGTTGTTGATAGATGCACAGCTCGAAATGATATATGCATGTGAGAAAATGCATAAACACATGCATATGTGTATATGCATGCATATGCGTGTCTGTGTATCTATATATCCCATGTATATTCACATCTTGTCGGGGGACTGTCAGCGCTTGAATAAATCAAACCAGCGCCTGCAAGTGGGTCAGCACTTGGTGTTGGCCTCTTGCCTTGCCTTGCCGTGTGGCATGCCTCAGTAGCGGCCATTGCATGCCGCACGCCAGTTACTGCCACCGCCAACTGACCCACTTGTGGAAATCTTAGCGTTCCGTTAGTTTCTCACACCCAAAACTGGTTGAGAACCAGCGACAATTGTCGCTCGGCAGAGCCAGCCGCGCGGAAAATGCCAAACAATAGGCACTCACAGAAAGAGTGGGGAGGGAGGGGAGGCCAGCATCGCCAGATATGTAGACATTCAGATTGCGACTGCTTTTCCAACTGGTTTTTCTCCGTCTTTTGCGTTTTCTGTTGTTTTTTGCCTTTTTATTGCCTCGCCTTTGCCTTTTGATTGTCTCAGATTTTTCCTGTTTTTTTGTTTTTGTTTTTGTTTAATTCATTTCGTTTCGTTTCGTTTCTTTTCTTTTCTTGTTGGGCCTTTCTAATGCACAGGCGAACAAAAGAGTTTGTTAGGCCAGCTCAGTGAGCGCTTGACTCGGGTTCAGATGAGTTATGGACCTGGGTGTGGTGACCTCTTGACTGGGACGCTCTGGTGGTTGCTTTCGCCGTGGCTCTACTTTATATGCACTTGGACTCTATTAAGGTAATGCGATACGTGGCGCATGAAAAATCAAAAAAATGTTCGGCTGCCCTCCTCCCCCTTCCCATAGCTCTGACATTGATGCATCTGTAGCTGTAGCTGTAGCTGTAGCTGTATCTCAATAGTTTTTCTGGGCTCCGCTAACAGCATATGGTCAGCGTTTGGTCAGGCGATCGAGCGATGATCCGTAAATAATAAAAAGAGAGCAAATTAAACTATTTTTGGCATATTCGATTACATTGTTGCCCACTCGGGCCGACGCGCAGCTGCCCAAATATTTTGGCTTACGCTGTCAACAATTCTCTAATGGAAAGTCGGGTAGCGTGCAAGTTTTTCAGCTGCCTCCCCGGCATAGGGTCGAGTCGGAGGCGGGGGCGGAGGCTGCCCTCCCTATTACAGACTCTTTTTTCTAATGCCGCCGTCACATGATAAACTTTTCATTTGTTTGTAGTCCGTCTGCTGCTGCTGCTGCTGTTACAAATATACACATTTATCTCTATATATATACACCATATACATATATGTAAATATGTGTGTATGCTAGTTCCACATCCAATCCCTAGCTCGGCTCTGCCCTTTGTCTGTCATCAGAGAGCGCGCGTGCGCGCGTTTTGTTTATTTTTATCTGCTGCTATTTCAGTTATGCAGCCGCTGTTTGGCTTTTCATTTATTTACTTGAATTTTTGCTTTGTTGTTGTTTTGTCACACGCCCTGTGCGCCTGTTTGCATTTCCACGTCCATCTCTCCGGCTGCAGATCGGCGGCAGCTCCAGCCTCGTCTTGCATCTCTGCCAGCAGCTCCGGCTGACTTCCTGTCTAAATAATTGCGCATTCAGCGCAAACACATCCCCAGTAAGGGGGGAGCAGGAAGGCAGATCTAAGTCGAATAGTATATACACTATATGCGACAGGTAATCATAGTCTCTGTATGTACATATTTGGAAATTTGATATTATATATTTAAATGCAATTGTCAGTTAAATACTTGGGAAATCGTTTATATAATTCTATGCACATATGTGCATACGCCATGATACCCCTATTTAATGTTATATGTACAGCTAAGTAGACAAGCTATAACAAGACCAAAGTCCACATGACAGCTCTAGATAAAAAAATTTACTTGAGACATACTATATCTTTATTGTATTGATCAAGATAATTTATTGATTTACTGCCTATTTCCGAAATTTTAAATATAGGTATTTTGCCATCGACATTGTTTTATCTGATTTCTGCAATTGTATTATACATAGATACATATGTATATATGTATAAGAATCTATGAGTGAGTTTCATGAAACCATTTTATTGTTGTTGTAGATTCAGCCCATGAAGAAATGCATATAAGAGTGCTTTTGCTAAATGTGTGTAGATAAGAAGAGTTTTGACATACATACATATAAACGTACATGTATGCATGGCGGCAGTTTAAAACATGACGACTCACACTCACATACTGTACCTAAATTTAGTATGAGTCAGTGTGTGTGTCTTTAAGAGGACATTGCGAAAGCTGCCAAACATTGAGAAATTGTAAGAGGCCCAATAAAAAACTAGATAAAGCGTTATTGTATTGTTGTATCATTATTGTAGTTGGTGAAATCTGAAAAGTCCATAAAGTAAAATAATCATAAAAATCGAATCAGTAGTTCTAATTAGCCGCTTACTACAGAAGCAGTAGATATAATTTACGATTATGAATGACAGAAAGTACGAGGTAAAGAGAATGTGTCCCAGGGATAGACAGAGATATATATATATATACATACATATAAACAAACTTACCGATATGTTTGCAATGTTTACTATTTATTTTTAAATAATTGACTATACTGAAAATTGTGTAAGATCATAATCATATGAAGCACAGCTCGCAATAGCTGTGTGTCAAACGTCAATCGTATCTTGTCCCAAATGATGATTCTTCTATGATTCTTCTCTTCAGAGCGTCAAATAGAGACAAATGGTCAACTGTTATTTGCTGGCTACATAAATACATACATACACACATATATAGATATGCACATATGTAGGTATGCTAAAAAGTGAATCAGAGGTCATGTTTGGATGGAAAAGCAATATTCATTCTATTTAGTTCTGCTAAATTAGCTAATTAGTGAGAGTTAACAACATCAAAGTAGTCTATGATTAAAATATTGACGATCTATTTCAGATCTCGTTTTGTGGTTAATGTGGTCGATTTTCTCGCTAACCGACCGATGTATACCGTTAAGTAGTGTTAAGTGCTACCGCAAAGAAAGAGGAACAGAGAAGAACAAAAGTAATCTGATTGACTCCGCTGATGACGTTTGGCTTTCAGCGCATAGCTCTGTGCATGATTCACACAGCGCCCGCTGCATTGATATTTTAATGACGCATTCTATCAGCGCATTCGTCTTTTGCTGGCATCATAAACAAAAGATCGAAAATTACGTTTTATATCCCTGCAACATAAGCAGCTGGTGAATAAATATTTAAGATCATTCAGTCAAACATGCGGGCTAATGACTTTTCATCGCATTATTAGGGAATGTTTAATACGAGTTCAACATATTCTTGACTGATCTATGGGGGCGGGTCTAGGCGCTCATCGATGATCAATTGATATTTGATGTGATATTTGATATGTAGCACTAAATTATTGAAAATTGATATACATTCTTGGTGGTATAAATATTCATCGATTTTAATTATCAAAATAATACTTTAATATAATTATCCCTCTAAGTCATTGCAAGTAAATCCTTGGGTCAATATCCACGATAAATTCTGATTGGCAGCACATTCGAACACAGCGCAAAGATATATTCGATTACCTTTCATCGTCTTGCACAGTCTCATATCGATAGTTCCGATATATTGATGTCAGCTGATTGCGAGTTCGCAGTGCTGTAAAATGCATTTGTTGTTGTTTTATAATCGGTCAGCTTAGATTTATAAGAAAAACATTTGTTTTAAATAAAAATGATTCGCAAATTGCATTGCATACTGCGACTAAACAGCACAATTACTCAAAGCATATATAGACAGCGGGCCCCAACGGTCCATTGCAGAAATTATGCAACGGATGAAGCAAATGCGAATCATAAAAATGACAGCTCCAATACGAAAAGAGGAGGAGCTGCCGGCTCGTCGAAAAACCTGCCCAGCATACGAAATCCCTTTGCAGCCGCTCACGAGAAGACCAAAAACTCCTATCTGACAATGGTGGAAATCTTTGAAGAACGCGATGTGCACCGGCGCAACCATGTAGAGTTTATCTACGCCGCATTGAAGCACATGCCCGACTTTGGAGTCGAGCACGATCTGGAAGTCTACAAGGCGTTGATAAATGTTATGCCTAAGGGAAAGTTCATACCAACCAATCTGTTTCAGGCCGAGTTCATGCATTATCCGAAACAGCAGCAATGTATTATCGACCTGCTCGAGCAGATGGAGGACTACGGCGTCATGCCCGACTACGAGATGGAGGCAATGCTGTTGAATGTGTTCGGCAACAAGGGACATCCGTTGCGTAAATACTGGCGCATGATGTACTGGATGCCCAAGTTCAAGAATTTGTCACCCTGGCCCCTACCTGATCCCGTGCCCGACGATACGCTGGAAATTGCGAAGCTGGCTGTGGAGCGCATGTGCACAGTGGATCTACGTTCGAAAATCGATGTGTTTGAGACAAGCGAGATCAAGGACTCGTTGGATGACACATGGATTGTGAGTGGCATGAGCCCCGAACAGTCTAAGCTGCTGCGTGAGCACTCCCGCCAGAAGGCGCTCTATATTGAGGGGCCGTTCAACATATGGATACGAAATCGACGCATCAATTATTTTACATTGCGCGCCGATGCGGACCCAGAGTTCCTTGCGCAATTGGACAAAGCCCAGGTGGATGAAGATGATGTGACCCAGATTGGTGTGCCGCTCTTTGGACGTGCGCCACCACGTCGCCACAATCAGTTGGGCAAAGTTCGCTCGGTACATCAGCAGGACGATGGAACTATATTCGCCATCTGCGCCACGGGGACCTCCACCAAGGACTCGCTGCTCTCATGGATTCGCCTGCTGGAGGCACATGGCAATGCGTCGCTGGGCGAAATACCCGTACTCTTTAGATTCACATCCACTGTGCCCGCCAAGGCCGAGCAAATCGAGGGCCCCTCCAACCTGCCAGCACACTCCAGTGATACAAGTAGCAATAAGGAGCAGCCGGACAGTAGACCGTAGTGAGTTCACTAAAATAAAATAAAATTGCCGAGCAATTGTCATGTGGAGTATGTTATCGTCTAGGTTTTATTAAGTAGGCGTGGGCGAAATTAAAATTCGTACATGGTTTTTAATTTAAAATTGCATTGTCTAAAGAATCAGAATATATATATGTGTGTATGTTTACTGGAGATATACATATATATACTGGAGCAGTTGAGCTTAAAAGAAAAATCACAGAACTCAAACTAAATGTAAACAAGATCTGCTACAATTTCAGCATATACTCAGTTCTCGTATATGCTTATCGAAATCTCTAAACTCTAGTTTTAAGTAATATGTACATGTCTCTATATGTAATCCGTGTTGAGATATATTGATAAGCTTTAATAAGTATTCAAATCTGTTCACTGTCCGCGAGCAGAGCCGATTCGCGCATCTATTTTTGAAATAGATGAAATTCCGTTTGCTCCGCTGTAGAGTTAGATCTACTTCGCTCGCGTCTTGTTGACGGGAAATACTTGGGTGACTACACCAATGCCCTTGCTGGACATGCCTTCGCGGAAGAGTATGCGCATGCCAGGTCGCACATACTCCGGGTGTCCGACGAACTCAAACATGACGGAGGCCGAGTCATTGGTGCCCAGCTTTTCGCCACCCATGATGCCACGTATAACAGCCGTCTGACGTATGCTCCCAATGTGGACCGTTGTCTGAAAGCCCACGTAAATGGCGGTTGCATGGAAGAGCACCGAAACCTTGGCCTAGAATGTAAATAAGTAGTGCTATAAATATTGCTGTTGTTCAAGCAGAAGTATTTGAACGGTCAACTTACTTGAAAGAAGTAAGTGCCATATGGCTCGTCTATATTTCCTGAATCACCCAACAGAACCATTCCGCTTCGCAGCGGTGGCAGCTCCTGGGTGGGCGTGAACGATAGCGATGCACTTTGGCCAGCGCGCACCACTCGACATGGAGCCTTGTTCCGATGTATGGTATGAACAGTAACTGAGTGGAAGCTGCCGTTTGGTAGTGGTCCAATTTTCATGGGCATATTTTCGGTGAGGACGCCCTGTACCAGCAGGCCGCCAACAACGGATCCCACATCAGTTACCCGAAAAATTTCATCGATTTGAAACTCGCATGGCTCTAGTTCCAAGCGATCCTTTTCAGCATTGCTGATGCCTGGAGACAGCACGTAGAGAAATTTTGTGACCAGATTGAGTCCAGTTCCGGTCACATTCGAAACGCAAAATATGGGCACAATGTTTTCAGACACCTGGTTCGACCCAGCCGATATGGCCTCATCCGTATTGGTGACAACAAACGGCACTTTGCGGCAGCCGATATTCGTGAGCAGAGTGCGCAGCTCCTGCAGTGTGGCATCTGGTGATGTAATATCCGTTTTGGTAATCAATATAAAGAATGGCATATCTAGAGCACGCACAATGGCTAAATGCTCCTCAGTGGTGTCATTGCATCCGCTGCCAGCGGACACCACCAGCATCGCATAGTGAGGTGAGTAGCCGCTCAGAGCCTGGACCGTTGTGCGCATATAGCGTCGATGACCTGCCAGGTCCATGAATGTAACCAGCTTTGTGGAGCGATCGCTTATCTCCTCGGCAGTCATCATTTCATTGTACTTGTAGTTGACCACATTGCCCAAGGCATCGAAGCCTAAAGTTTCATGCGAAATGCAGGAGGTTCGACCTGAAAAGAAACTCCAATTAGAAATTGCTAAAATTATATGTAGCTTCACTTATTACCCGACTGAATCTCGTGCATGTGCCGAAACATGTTTAGTCGCGCACGCCCATGTCCATTGTCCAGTTCGTCTTGTGTAAGCACGCCCAGCAGCGTGGATTTGCCAGCATCAGCGCCACCTAAAACGGCGACGCGCACCTCAATGTTGTGCTGATCATCAGGGATCTTGCGTACGAGCACTTCGGCAACCGAGCGCCGCATGTCAACTGTCTTGCGTCGCAGTACGGATGTGCTGGCGCCCAAATGATGGGCCATTTGCTTGAGCGTGGTAAGAGAGGCATTCATGTCCTTATCGCTGAGGCCCTGCAGGTGGCCCGCATCGGAGACGCCGATCTCATAGATGGCCTCACCTTGTCCTTCGCGTAGACGCCATTTCATTTGGGTGACCAAATGCTCAAAACGTTGCTTTGACGGATTCACCAATTTGAGCTTGTACTCCACATTGCCCAGCTGTGGCTCCGGGGGCAGAACTCCCTGCTCAAAGTCAAAGATTAGATTACTTTTGGCATTACTGCCCGTGTTGTTGTTGTTGYTGCTGCCACTGATTTGGTTGCTCTCATTGACATGACCATCCGTCTCATACTCGCTGCTGCCGCTGCTGTTGCCATTTAGCTCTTGCTCCTCGTCGAAGCCATCGTCTGGTTGATTTGGATCGAACAGGCTTAAAAACGAATCCATATTGTGGCTGCTGTGAATGATCAGAGGAAGAGAGAACAAAGGAACGATCACATCATATTTTATTTGCTAAACATTTTTGGCCAAGTGCGCCATTGAGCGAATATACATTATATTTTTGGCTTGGCCTCTTTTGCTTGTGGTGACCTTGAAACGCTTGTTTATGTTTGCATGCATGCACAAACACACACATACACACACAGTCATACAAACACTGTTTTGGGCACGTATTACTGTTCCTATTTACACAAATACGTGTAACTATTACTTTATATGCTTATTTAATATTATTATCAAATGGAAATATTCTATTACTTTATAATTAGCGCCTCCCTTAACTAAATCAGATCGTGTACGACTCGATGTTTTGCTATGTGCGCCGAATGTGCCACTGGCCCGAAAAATCGATTTTTGGGACGCGGGCGCTTTGGGCCAGTCGTTTCACAAACACATGTAATACTTATGTATTCATGTGTCTAAGCACACGCACATGCACATGGACGCACACACACACACTCATGTATTTCACTCGGGTAACTTGCTCTTGGGTGCGCTTCACATCTTGCAAGAATTTAAGTGCTTTTCGTTTTCCGTTGCCTTTCGATTTTGTTTATAACTTGTTCTGTTTTGGGGCAATCACACGTACACAAACACTGAAGAGCTTTCTGCTTCCTGTTCTCTACATTAGCGCATATGCATAGTGATATGTCTTATGTTTGCTTTTGCTTTGCTCTCCATATTGGCAGATTGTGTAGCGCATGCGGCAGTCAGTAAAGCGTAGACTGCTGCTCATTATTGGCTTGTGTTTTATGTTTGTTTTTCGCATTTTGACGTCCTCGGCGCTGCTTCTTGGCTTTCTATACAAATCGCTAGCTATGTATGTATTTGTTTTGATCAGCTGTGACTGCGACAGCTGAATGAAGAAATCAGATAACGAATTTGCACTTCTAGCGTAATTATTATCTTTTCATTATGGCTTCTTTCACAGAAAGCTTTCGATAGGACTTACGTGCTTATGTTTATGAGTACGTGTCAATTGTATAAAAATAATTAATTGCAAATAGCACACCTAACCAAAGTTAATATATAAAAGAATGAATATATAAATTATATTTATCTTCTTACATTTTTATAAATATTTTACTCAAGCAATTGAAGATGCAAATTCTGTTTATGTGGATACGTATATACGTATGTATCATACTTACATTTCACAATAGGTCTTAATTTACTTTGAGTTGAACCTGTTTATTCAATGCTATGCAATTTATGTTGAGTAATAATGCACTTGGATTGCGTGAGACGCTTTCGACTAAATATGTATATGCTCAGCTATGTAAATTTAACAGATATTTACGAAATCATCATAATTGGACACTGTGAACTAATAATTTCGAAAATTTGCGCCAAGAAACACGCTGAACATAAACAAAACTTCTTATTTATTACATTATTGTTTGTAAATAAAATTCAGCCTGGCTGTGCAAGTGTGTAAATGAAAACGAAACACTAAGCGTATTCCCTCTGCTCATAACATTTTAATCGACTTAAATTTATCGATAGGATATCAGCTGTTGCTTAAAAATTGCGACTGCAACAAAGTGACCAGCTTTTTATGAAATTCGTTACAATTCATGAAATGGTTTTTGTTTTATTATTATTATAGTATAAGCTCAAATTATGACTTGCTTGAATTATTGATGTTTAAAATATAAATGAGTGTTGTAATTAATATATTTAAATACTAAATGTTCGTATGTCAAAGAATAATTTCAAAATAGTAAATTACGTAAATAAAACTAAATTTATTTGAAATTATTATTACCGCCAAAGTCATTTTGTCATTTACCAACACAGGATAGAACTGAGGCTGCCAACCGCTTCAGATGGGAAACCATACTCATAATAATTTGAATACTTGTTCTTCAAGCATTCCCACTTAGTTTCTGATCGTTGCCAAGGCAGGAACACGTTAATAGAGAATATGCCCACCGTATACCGTGGAACAATTGTACACACGAAGTCATTTAATGAATTCGAATCGTTTAAGGAGGGCTTTGTTGCCGTAGAAGATGGGAAGATAATTGGCATTGGCGGTGATTATGACAATTGGCTGTCCACTTCCAAGATCAATGAGGACTTGATTAGCGAAGTGAGGCTGTCTCGATTCCAGTTTCTCTCCCCCGGCTTTTGTGACGGTCATATTCATGCTCCGCAATACGCACAAATTGGCCTGGGAATGAGTGTTCCTTTGCTGGATTGGCTAAATACGTACACGTTTCCAACTGAAGCGAAATATGTTGACAAGGAATTCGCGCAGAAGATCTATAGAAGTGTTGTTGTAAGTAGCTGTAACTCATAATTATCACTATTAGTTTACGTTTCTTATCGGCCAATCATCACATTGTGTGCTCACAAGCACTCACACGTGCACACAAACATACATGCAATAAAATTAGTTCGATAGTAAGCTTTTGCTGGCCGATCATTTTAACGATCGCTTTCATTCCTAAGCACACATACACACACACGCACAACTCACTGCATATGTATATATTCTGTGCCTGCTTCGTTACACCAGCTGATAATTTGATACTCTATATAGGAAGCTACACTTCGCTGTGGCACCACTTTGGCCTCCTATTTCGCTACCAACAATTTGGAATCAACACTGATCTTAGCTAAGGAAGCGGCACGTCAAGGCCAGCGCGCATTGATTGGAAAGGTCTGCTCCAATTGCAACAGTCCCGACTTCTATGTGTGAGTGTGTAGAAACATGACAATTAATCAATTGATCCGTAAGTAATCAAGGTATTATTTACTCTGCAGGGAGACGACAGATGAATCGGTCAGGGGAACGGAAGCATTTGTTGCAGCAATACGTAAACTGAACAATCCCCTTGTGTTGCCCACTATAACTCCGCGATTTGCGCTCAGCTGCAGCAAGGAATTACTGCAGAAACTGGGTAACATAGCTAAGCAATACGATTTGCATGTGCAGAGCCACATTAGTGAAAACTTGACTGAGATAGAGGTGGTAAGAGACATCTTTAAAACGAGCTATGCCAATGCCTATGATGAAGCGGGACTGCTAACGAAAAAGGTTTGTTGAATGTTGACTGAAAAAAACCTTCAAGGAAACCTAATCTGTTTCTCTAATACAGACTGTCATGGCGCACGGAGTGCATTTGCAGGATGATGAGATTGCCTTGCTTAAGAAACGTGGAACGGCTATTATTCATTGTCCTGCTTCCAATACCAATTTAAATTCTGGCATTTGTGATGTACAGCGTCTTATTAAGGCTGGATTAACGGTGGGCCTGGGCACGGATGTGTCTGGGGGGAATTCCGTATCCGTACTAACTGCCTTACAGCGCGCCATAGAAGTTTCCAAACATCTTGACTTCTTTAAAAAGCAAAATATCTTAGGCACGGGGCGAGCTGAAACGCAAGATAACGACTACCAGCAATTGACGTACAAACAGGCTTTCTATTTAGCCACCTTGGGTGGTGCAAAGGCATTAGCCCTGGATCATATTACAGGTAACTTTTCTGTTGGTAAGGATTTCGATGCTTTGCTGGTGGACGTGAGTGTGCTGCAGAAGCCACATCGTCCGTTTACTGTTGACGAGCTCTTGGAGAAATTCATTTATACCGGCGATGATCGCAATATTAAAGCCGTATATGTGGCCGGTAAGCTGGTTAAGGGCACAATATAATTAAAAAACTGTGATTGCTAACAATAGCTCTTCGCAGAGAAATGCATATTGAATTTATTGCTATTTCCGTATATATGAATAGGTCTATTTTAAATGCTGAAAATAAAGAGCTCATTTTGGGTTTTACATTCTATTCTATTTAGTACACTTTTGATTGGTAAACCACACACATTATTTCATTTTTACAAACAGTTTTATATGTACTCGGATAAATATGTATATATACATATTATTATATTTAATTAGATTTTTTATTTTTAGTTTAGATTCAGTTTTCATAATTGCATAGGCGTTTATCATAATCACATATTGGGTTGGGACCAGGTCATTTTGTTTTTAACGCCAATAATTATAATAATTGAGCTTTTGAAGTATTGAGTATAAGATATATAGAATTGTTTGTTTCACAAATAATAGCTATAGAATGTACAATTATCAATGCTTTATGTGATGTTCAGATCTTACATCTGTACTATCAACAGTCCTAACTGCACAAACTTTTAATTACAATTTATTAAATAATGTTTTTTTGCTCTTCATTTTTTTTTGCTCGTACACAGTATGGTTTGTGTGTATTTGTGGGAATGTGGATGGGCACCTAAGATTTAGTTACAAAATTAAGTAAATTGTCCATAAATATTTTAGAATTTCAAATCGGGTTCATTTTGGGCTAACTAAAATGTATATGCCTTATGTGGCATACACAAATACTTTCACTTTACACATTAAAGCTTACACTCTTACATGGCTTTAAACTAGGTTTAGCTAATAGAAGGATTGTTAAATCTATTGGTGTATATATTAATATATACTTATAATAGCTTTAGGACACATTTTAAGCATTGAACATGTTTTGCTGTGTGGCATCGTTCTCGAAATCTGTCCAAGCATTATTTAATTCAATAAAAATCAGCTTGGCGATTTCCTCGTGTTCCGTTCCATTATGCTGTAAATGTGATATAGTGTATAAAGAAAAAAAGCATGGCAATAAATGAATGAGCTCACCTTATCTGGATGTACAGCTAGGCAGGCGCGTCGGTAAGCCTTCTTCACCTCGGCGGGTGTTACCATGGTAGACATTTCGCAGCGTTGCCATTTGGCATTCTCCCAGAGCACCATATGCATGGAGCAGAGCAAAGCACGTATATTGTTTTTCTTGCCGTCGGTCTGTAATTTCAATATTACTACAGGTATTCTTTAGGTAGATAGTTACGAATACTTACCCATTCCATAATGCGCACTTTCTTCGGATCCATATCTTTCACCAACTCCTCTTTGCGCATCTCGTTTATGGATCTCGGCCCCTGATTCATTTTGCTACCAAACGAATAGCCCTGCTGTCCCAGAATATCTGCAAAAATATCTGAGCTCTTGGCTCCGCCACCAGCGCCTGGTTGCTGCGATGATTTTTGCGCATCAAAGTGCGTTCGACTATAGTCCGGGCGTGATTGTTGAGCTTGTGGCTGCGGCTGCGGCTGAGGCTGAGGCTGCGGTGGTGTCCTCACAAACGGTGGCTGTGCTTGCTGTTGAGGTTTAGTTTGTGGTTGAGGTTGCGATTGGGTCTGTGGTGGACTTGGCGCTGGCTTGTGCGTCGGGCTGGAAAATTGTGTAGGCTGTGGACTATGGCCAACAGGCGTGCTGCCCGCCGACTTAGCACCAAGCGTGCTGCGATTAAAGTTTATATTTAGATCAGAAGCCAGGTTGGCAATGTCAGCAAACGGATCTAGTGGTTTTTGTGGTTGCGTAGGTGATGGTTCCTTTCTGGGCGCAGCTGGTGTTGTGACGAAGGTCGGTACCGTGCCCACAAAAGGTGGCAGATTGCTGCTGGTTGTTGGTTTTAGATTGGAAGCCCCGATGCCAACGTTCTGATCCATAGAGCCAAATATGTCAAAAAGATCTGCGTTGATCTGCGGCTGTTGTGTAGTCTGCTGCAGCGGTGGTGGCGGCAACACGTCTGGAATGGGTGCCGATCCAATGCCTGTGGAGTCATCATCGCCAAAGGCACCTAACAGGTCGAAGCTGGCATCTGAGCTGGGCATGGCACTTGCCAGTGGATCAGCCGCAGCTGCTGCAGCCCCTGCACTTGGCTGTTGATTCAGATTGAGCAAATCAATGGGTGGCGAGGGTTCTGGCATTGCTGTGGGTGTATCATGAGCTATTTCCGTAACATCGGGCAACACTAACGGCGAGCTCGATCGTTCCGACTTTCTAACAGACGCTGGCGGAGAGGATTTTGTACTGGGCTTGGTCACTGCAACCAAAGTAAATCGATCAACATTAATTATTTATCTCAACTAAAGCGAGAGTGAACTTACCGAAATTATCCAGCATCTCCACATACTCTAAATCAGAACTAAATAAGTTTTGTGCATTACGTTTGGACTTGGCTGGCAGCCATGGTGGCTTGTGGCTGGGCGGAGTTTCTGTATCCGATACGCTTAATGAGAGCGACACGCAAAAGTTTGGCGGCACCTGCTCCGGATCAGGCAGATCATCGAGATCATGGGCATTAAATGTGATGAGTGTCTCTGGCTCAGGCACAAAGCCAGTATTAATTTGAAACTGACAGATCTTGAGGCCCTGCGGTCGCACCATGCCCTTCAACGCATTACGCGCATGGTACAATACAATAGTCAAGTCTCCACAAACTGTTAAGTTAATTGGCAGCACGATTTTGCCTGGACCCGCTATGTATAGCCTGAAATGGAATAACATTAAAATTAACCAATCTATAAAGTCTTATGTGAAGGAAGTTTTTTAGTTTACCGCATTTTTTCGTAATCTTGCAGCGTAGTGAGAAGCAACATTTCGTTGCAGTAGACCTCCATGTAAAGCCGGCAGCCATCACGAGCCTTGGTCATGCGCGGCACGGGCTGACAGCTGAGCGAAACCAGGTTGATATTCTTGTAGTGCGGAAGGAGCGGCGTGGGCCGCAAAATATCACCAAAATAGTAGAGATATCGAAACTCGGAGGGGCGCAAATTAATGGTGTGGCGTTTAACAGCAAATACTTGCACCGCGTCCTCCGGTTCCTGCAGCAAATCTGCGTACATAAGCAGAGCGCATATAACAGTGGCCGCTGTGCAGCCGCCCGAGTCGCCAGTTTGCACAATGACAACAGATTTGGGATCTGCGTTAAGGAAGTTATACATATCCGCTGAAACAGTGAACAGGCCCTGAAATAGAGTTTAGTTGTTAAAAGTGTCATGGGAATGTATCTTCGCACTTACCTGAAGATTGGGGGCGTGTGCCTGTGGGCAGCCATACACAGAGCCCGCCTCCACAGTTCGTACTGGCGGTGGCAGGCGCGGTACAGTTCGTGGTCCAAAATTATAAATGCTTATCTTTTGCGGTGCAAAGCGACTCTCCAACGACAGGCGCACATCCTCAATGTTATTCGTTTTGTAAGTGGACTCGAAGCCATCCGAGGGGCAGGGCATTACTAGAACGCGCGAAGTGATGTGACTAATGTCTAAGTCATTTCGTGCAATTGATTGTTGCATCGTTTGCATCACCTTGGTTGAAGTATCTTTTAGGTTCTTGAACAGAGTGCCAGCACCGCCACGCAGAGACGACAGCAAGCTACCGCTGGCATGATTGGCCGTCGAGGTCGATGTAGCAGGAGCAGTTTGTGGTGCATTCGTAGACATGGGCGTTGGTGTGGGCACAGCCGTAGGATTTGGATTGTCGCAATAGAACTCGGAGTGGCTCGTTTCGGGCATACTTCTCTCTGGACTATGGGCTGGTGACGTCTCTATGGGCATTCCGCGCAAATCCAACGGTCCCTTAAGCGACCAGTTGTTTGTCTCAGCAATCGCTGCCAAGCGCTCCAAGACCATTGAGATGTCATAGCGTTCAGCTGGATTCACTTTAAAACAGCCTTTTATAACCTCGCGAAAGCAATTATAACGAGAATCAGGAGGCATAATGTAGTTGGCATTGATGATACGCAGCTTGCCCCCATCCTCGAATGGATGTTTTTGATAGCACAAAAAATATAATATACAGCCAAGTGCCCATATATCGGCCTTGGGACCAATTGGATAATTCGACCATGTGTCCAACATTTCGGGCGCACGATACATAGGCGTGGTCACCGTATTCAGCTGATCCTCAAGCATATTGCGTTGATGTGCGGTCCATTCAAATGTGGGCGCGAACACCTCCTTGCTGGCTGAACCAAAGTCGCAAAGTTTGATCTGCTTGTCATTGCCAATAAGGAAATTTTCAATCTAGCAATGAAATTTATATATATAACGATTTGATTAGTTTTTAAGAGGTACTTGCCGAATAGTTCTCTCGTCTTTATATAGACGATTAATATATTACTACATACATAAGTTAAATTCTATTCTCGCTTGCAACAAATTGGGATTGCTTTGCAATTGACTTGACTGGATTCACATTAGGCATTTACAGTTCCTAATTACCTTTATATCACGATGAGCTATGGGCGGCGACTGTGTATGCATGTGGGCAACGGCGCGTGCCATTTGATAGAAGATGCGTAAAATAAGAGGCGGATCGAGCGCTGAATTGTCTACTCTAAAGCAGTCCACCAGAGAGCCACCTTTTGAAATCGATGAAATTATTAAATAGGATTCCACTTGATCATTGTAAGCCATCAGTTACCCTTGCACAGTTCCGTTAGCAGTAAAAACTGTGCGCCATGATGGGATGTGGGAGGAATGCAGCTGGTGCCAATGCACGTGACAATGTTGCTATGCCCAGATAGTTGCTTATGGATGCTAATCTCATTGTTGATTGTTCGGCAGGCCTGCTGATCGGCGGCGATCAAGCGCTTGAGGGCGTATTCTGTGCCATTTTTCACATCTTGTGCGACGTACACAAAGGCATATCCGCCTGCAAATAGAAGGGGAAACGTTGATAGCAAATCACACTGATAAGCGGGGGCGTTCAATTTCAGTGACGACCCAAACTCATTTATATAATTAAATATGCATTATTTATAAGACCGAAAATCAGAAACTTGATACTCTTTTCTTGTGATTACGAGTATATGTGTGTGTGTGTGTATGTTTGGCAATGTGACTCATGGGTCAAGAGAACGCCTGAAGAACGCTTGAACTTTAATAGCAACTTGAGGCACCAATACTGCTGTGAATACAGCATGTATGACTCTTAGCGTACATCTCATACTCGCTAACGAAGCAACAAGTTTTTCATTCTGTTTCACTGCGAAAATCAGAAAGCGGAAACGAAGAGCTTGTAGATGACGCTGTGGTGTCATTGTTGGCTGCTTTGATTGTAATTACAAACTTTCTGAAGAATCCAGCCATATTTAACACTCTATTACTATTGATTTTTATGCCCTTGCTTGGGGTTAGGCAATTGTTTTTGTTTGTATATTCCCCATTTTTCTAACCTTCGGCTATGACACATTTTGTGCGCAGCTTCAATCCGGAGATTTCCACATATTGGCCAACGTAATCATTGTCCATGCTTCCACTGTTCACTGTGGCATTAGTGGAACCTCCTCCTCCTCCATTTCCACCTGCATCGGAGGTGGTGTTAAAGTAGTTAAAGTTTAGCGACTTGAAAAAATCGCCCATATTACTCGACAATGGTATGTTGTGTGTTATAATTTTTGATTGCTGAATCGCGAGCTAATTTTAGGGTTTTTGTTTATTTTAACCGAGTTTAAACATTTTCGCTGCGGACACAACAAAAATTGCTGCGTTGCTTTAGTATTTATTACTTCTGTTCTGGTATTTTTTTTTTGCTTCGTTGGACGGGCATAAATGGTCAGCTGTTTGCTTAACACCGAGTTTAACAGTGAAGCATTTTAACATCTATTCATTTTCAACAAAGCTCCATATTTACAGTCGTTGCTAAAACATTCTTTAAAAAAAGAGAAACCTTAGATTTTGAAATTTGAAAATGATATGTTATTAAATTTTGCACAGCTAGCCAAAAAGGACGTCAAAAAAGGGCTTACATTGGAGACTTCGACAATGAATTAATTTCTGTTAAGTGGAGTGATATGTAAAGTGTGGAGTGATTATGCTAAGCCTAATATATGTAACGTTTTTCAGAAAATATTTTTATATAATCTATTAAATGCTTTAAAGTATATTTATTTATTTGCTTCTATGATTGGATAATTTTTTTGAAACATGATTATTTTAGGTAAATAGTGGAATACATAAAAATATTTTAGAATATGATAAGTTAACATAATAACACTATGCAACATATATAGACTTTTGACATTATTCAAGCTAACTTATTTTCTAGATTAAAGAAAGGAAATACGAAAAAGATTTTAATTTCCTTAGTAAATTTTAAAACTAGTTTAGATGTAAAGTTTAATAAAAGTTTAATTAAATTACCTTAAGTTAGCATTTGAACATTTTTGAAAAATATTTATTCAGTTTTATTTATTTATTTTTTTTTTTTTTGTAAGAGATTCAGTATTGTGCATATTAGTACAAATGTCTCTATTACAAATGTCTCTATTACAAATGTCTCTATTACAAATGTCTCTATTATGTACAAATGTCTCTATTATTTATTTCTAATTCACGGATATTAACCTTTGGCCTTCAGATAATAATTTCCGTTAAATATTGGGGGGATTGCGTTGACCTTGCAGGCGGAGTTGCCCGCATCTTTAAGTCTTATAAATATGTATGTACATACAGTTAATTACATAAAGTATAAACCCTAAAAAAATAAATATTTTCCAAAGACATTTTCAGGCCTTTGAACTAATACAAGGTCGGTTAAACATTTGTCAATTACAGATACATTTGTACACATTATGCTGTTGAAACAGTCTTCGATTTCCGCCGAGACTTATAAAAGACTTAATACAAATAATCAACAAATCATCGAGAAACAAATAACAATCTTCAGTCTTTGTTTTCGTTTGTAAACAAATGTGAAATGCATGACAAAATACAGAAAGAAAGACCAAATACGATTTTAAAAACCCATTTACGGCACAAATACTGTCTGTATCTGTTCGAAAGCAGGGTACGTTGTGGATTGCGATACCAATGACAATTTTATTTTTCTGCTGCTTTCGTCGTTGTTGTTATTGCTGGCCATTGTTGTTTTGCGTAAATTGAGCGTCTCGGGTAATTTTGACACATTTTAAAGTGTCAAGTGTGCAATTTTGTTACATTTGCATTTCTAGCCAACGTAACAAATGCCATACAATAATAATGACAAAAAAGAAACATTTTTCAAATAATGATGGCTTTGGCTTATCATTAGAGGCTCAATAAACAATGTTTCGCAATTAGTCAAATGAGTGCAGTTATTCTCGGGCTGCGACTGCAGCCATTCGGACTTATCATGGGCAATGCGATTTAGCATTGACACATTTTCCATTAGTTGGCAATAATTAAAGTTAATAAATATTTTTCCACGCCATTTAGCCGCGTAACTAATATGGATAGAACTTGTGAAATGTAACGAATTGAGGGCGAATAAAATACACATTCTGTTTGGACAATTGTGCGGGAAAACACGTCTAAGCCCGAGAATAATAATGAGTTGCCTTGCACCACTTTGCGTGCTGTTGGTATTATGGGTGCATTGCGTATACGCACAGGGTTACCGATCGATGCCCAGCGATGCGCTGACATTTACTCTGTATAATCCTTCGAGTGGCCAGCAATTGGTACCAGTACGTTATATACTCTCACGCACCGTCAACAATAATCTGATTGAGCTGCCATCGATGGGCAGGCTGTGCTCCTGCCAGGACTACGCGTGCAAGTGCTGCCTGGGCCTGGGCCTCGGCGTGATAAGGGAGGACGTGTGTCTCAACGTCGCAGGCAATCTGCGAGACCTCAGTGTCAATTTTGTCGTTGAGCTAAACCAGCGATCGTTGGTCGACTTTGACATATCGCCCAGAAGTCTGCCGGATTTTTGCACACCCTTAATGCTGCCGATTCCCATTTTTGCCTGCCTGCGACTGTATAACATACATATCATCGACCGGAGTTTGTATGCTTGCACCTCGTTGGTATTTAAGATGCTGTTCCAGCAGATGTTTGAGTACAAATTGACCTGCTTGGAGCTGAGCGTCAGGGGCGTGGCTGTGGTTGCTGAAACGGACTGGAATAATGATCAGATTCAGCTAAGAACGATTCAGCAACAATCACCGAACAACAAACTTGAAGTCTACGCTGCATAAGTTGATTGTATGGCCCATGGTTTATACATGTACACTCATCCATCCTCCACTTATTCTGTTAAATATCAAATCTAACAAAGGAAAAAAGTGAAATTTTTGTTAATTAAAAAAAGCATTTTACTCAAAAGCCGCACCAACAAGAAACGACACAATAAAGCGCTATGAAAATTGCGAAAATTGCTAATAAAAAGTTGGGCCAAGTGTGTGGCAGCTGCGTGCGTCTGTGTGTATGCATGTGTGTGCATATGATGCGGCTGCCTTGGATTTGTATCTGTATCTCAGCATCTTAAACAAGGTACACAGCTCATTGGAACACACCTACTTCTGGCCACTTTCGTTTAACCACTACGGCACATGGCAATTATTTTTCTGCCCGCTATCAAACAGCATGCATCTGAAGCCGACAAAACAGTACACGAGCTTACGAGCAACCCAAGCGCGACTCGGAAGAAGAATTGGGGCTGGGGAGCGCCGTTGGCACTTTAGCGTGATGGGCTGTCAAATGGTAATTTGTCACTTTAAGCATATAACTAATCGTAGTTAAAGTCTAGGCTCTTGTACTTATCAACTTTTATTAGTAAAACTTAAGTTTAAATAACACTGGCCAACACAAGTCGGATGTAGCTTTCTAAGAAAGTTAGGACTGTGGTTTTAAGCAAAATTTGCCGAGCTGACTTCGACTTTCAGTCACTGAATAAGTCCAAAATGTTTGGCCCTAAACTTAAAACATTTTTATTTGGAAATATTTATTCTGTACTAAAATATCACATCTAACTACATCTTCATTTATAATTATCTGCTGAAACACATTCGCCGCAAAAGAGAGTGTAAAATGGAGAGTATGAATAAATTTAGTCAAGTTAATTTATATGACAAATTATCACTTTTCTCTTTATTAGAAACCTTGTTGACTTGCGTAATAAACGTTGCTATTGTTGACCATTTTCTGAAGTTGTAATTATTTATTTGACATATTATCTAAAAGAAAATTGGTGAAAATGACAATGATAAAAAGCATTACATTAAAATTTTGTTCAAATACTAACAGCAACGGGGGTGTTGGAAAAATAACCAAATAACAATCAAACAAGACTAAAGGGGAAATTAATTGCACTTAGAAATTATTTAAAACAAAAAAAATTATAATATTATAAATAAAATGCTGTTAACAAAATAAAGATTTTTAGAAATAGGAGTCTAATAATAAATTCTCTGCTCACTTTTTTTAAAAGTTATATTCAAAGAACTGGCTTTAATTAAGATTTATTTATATTTCTAAATGCAAATAAAAAAATTTCTTTTTTAACTTATAAATTTTGCGTTATTTGCATTTTTAGAAAGGCCAACCAAATAAAAAAAAATTTTATTTTTAATTGTTATGTTAATACTTAATTTTAAAATTTCAAGACCTCAAACTCTTCCTTATTTAATTGATTAATGTGGTGTGCTTTATTCTTAGCAGAGATTTTTTGAAACCTATTTAGTTAAGATGCATTGTAAATTCATAATTACAGAAGAAGTTAGACCAAAATATATTTATAAGTGCTGATTGCCTTCATTTGCATGACAAATTAAACAGAACAGAATAATATGTATTAAAAATTACGCGTAACTAATTAATGATATATTAACTGACGTTTATTTTCAAAGATTTACATTTGTCTATTTTTAAAGCATTTTCTATCTCAAATATGCTTGTATGATTTAAATAATCAGAGATAAACTACAGTTACCCAATCATCGGATCAACTGCACTGATGCGAAACAAACGACGCGTCGTTGACGAGGGGATCGCCAAAAAAGAAATGAAATATTGTGAGTAAAATTTGGATCTCTGCATTCGCTCTTTTTGCCACTGATGTTGCTGTTGTTGTTGTTGTGTTGTGTGTGTTTGTGTTGTTGGCTGCTGCTGCAATTGCGCAATTGTTCGCAGATTTTGGCCGCATTGTTGTTGCTTTGGCTTTTATTTGGCATGCTTTGCTTGAGTATTCGTCTGCCCCCTCTGCTGCCCCTTCGATCGACTTTTGTCAGTGTCATGCTGTTTTTTCTTTCTCGGCTCTGGTGTTTGCTTAGCTGTCTCAAGCTCAAGCTTCAGCTCCAGCTCGGTCTGGGTCTCTGTCTGAGTCCCAATCTAAGTCTCTTTGGCCAGCTGTTGCTGCTGCCGACGTTGCTGTCGGCGTCGCTGGGTATACGTGTATGTGTGTTTGTGTTAGTGGTTGTTACCGTTGCCAACATCGCAGTTACCTTCGCTGCGGCGGCTGCTGCTGCTGTTAAGTTGTTGTTGGCGTCGGCCTCCAAACACACATAGATCCCCCCAGACATCTGTACATATATATGTGTGTATGTATGCATAATAATTTTTACTTTTTTCTGTCGTTTTCCAGCTCGATGCTTTTTTACTTGCAAGCAAAAGTTTTTCATTTGCGTTCAGTTGTATTTCGGTTCGCGTTGCGATCTGTCGCACATTTCGTCTGGCTCGCTCGCAGAAACAATAAAAACACAAATTAAGAGCCGTTTGTTGTGATCATCGTCAGGAAGGCGTCAAGGAGCAGCAAGTATTGGACTACTTAACAAACAGGATATTAAGCCGAAAGTTAAAATATAACGTGAGTTATTATTGCCTAGCTTTGATGAAGCATAAATTATATATTTCGAATATCAAATATTTTAGTTAGGTCATTTTTGCCTATCAAAAATCTCATTGGCTTAAATTATTAATTCTTGTGCTTCGATTCGAATTCTTTAGTATTTACGCTTTCAAATAATCTGTGAAGTATTTAGAGCCCGACATTGACTGATATACCGTAGATATTATGACATTGATGTCTTTTGAAATAAAAGCGAATGCTTAAGAGATTTTATGGGTCCACAGCTTACCGCATTTGTGTGTGGGATTGAATGGGTTGAGGCAATAGCATCTGCATCTTCGTGGATAGTATTTTACATGACAGGCTTTATCCATCAAACCTACGGACCTTCAACTTGGCATTCGATTGATGTGCCCGAAAGTTAAAAAAAATTTCACTTTCAGTTGCGACACTTGGGCGCAAAAAGAAAAAAGACCCAGGCGCCAATACACACACATTTACACTTGTTCACTCGTCTCATAAGCCGGAAAGTGCTTGCCAATGCTGACTAACAAGCATGTGTAATTAAAGATGCTGGCAAAAAAAAAAAAAAGACGGAAAAAATAATAAAAAGTAAAATTAAAAACAAAAAAAAAGACCATAAGTAAAAAGCATTAATTTTAAGAAAAGACCAGCCAAGAGACCGACCAGCAGCAGGGCTACAGCATCTTTAAACTTTATGATCTTTCAAATTTCACATTTCATAGTCGCACTAACAACAAAAAGTACAAATATGTTTAAGTGAAAAACAAAAAAATCATGTAAAGTTTCTCACTTTTGGGTGGGAAATGTTAATCATAAAAAGTAAAAGTGAAATTAATACAGCGCCGGCAAGCATCACAAGCAACAACAACAATAACAACAAATTACATTAACCGCATACGGCCACATTTGCATTTTGCACATGACAACAACTGCAGCAACCACAACAACAACAATAATAATAACAACGACACCAGCCAAAACATTACGACAATCGCTGATAACAATAAGCAACGAACGTTCGATTGTTGACCCGACTACCAATGATATCGGACATCGTTAATCGGCAACGGCTCCGATTTAGATTCATTAAGTGCAGCGCGCAACGTGCGAATATTGAAACAAAAGCGAAGCAGAAGTAGCTGAAGAAGAAGAAGGCGCTGTCGTTGCTCACGTGGGGGCGTATACGTAATTTGAATGCAGCCTTTGTTTGCCAGATCAATTGGTAATGCTCGCAGCGTTGTTAATCGTGGCGGGAAGTTGCTGTTGCCTTTTGATTGACAAGCTGACAAGCTGAAGCGACTGAGGGCCCTAGAAGAGCGGCTCTTACAAGAAAAGTGAGAGTTTTAAGTGTGTGTGTGTATGTCTGAGAGCTGTTAGAAGCCGACACAACTCGCACTCGAACTCAAAGTCAACACACAAGCTCAAGAGTCAATGAACAAGTCGGCGATTTGTGCCGCTGCTGCCAGCAATTGTGCTCAATTGAGCTTGTTGCTATAAACGTAATACCCAATTAATGGCAAACGGCACGCCTTGAGTGAGAAAGCCCATCATTAAATGTGCGCCGTCTGTCGCACCGTAGTTGTTTGTCGTCGTCGCATGCAAATGCTGAGCGCTTTAAGTAGCAGCTCGGAGTAGATAACCCCAGCGTATAATGGCCAACATCAATACAACAACAACAACAATAACAAATCCCAAAYAGCCAGAGATGAAATTAAGACCTAAGCTCAAACTTAAATTGCACACACATAATAATAATTGCAGTTTGCATTTCAACATAGTTATGCACATAATAGCAAACCCGCAGGGCTATGACTCCGGCTCTGGCTCTGGCCATGCGCCGATAAAGTGTTTCAGTCGCATTTCCTGTCTCGCTTCTTTTCAAAACTTGAAGTGATGTAATTTTCATTGAACAAAAGTGGCCGAAAAAAAGAGAGAGAGAAAAAAATAAAATAAAAATAAAGAAACAAAAATGACGCTACGAAGACGCAACGGCAAAGCTTCAAAAGGCGAAACACCAGTTGATGGCTACGAAACAACGCGTCGCTGTCGACGTCGGCAGCGGCTGTGCCGTGACATTGAAGCCGACAGCGCTGGCACCGCTGCTGGCGTCGACGCAGCTGTTACCGGGCAGCGGCCTAAAAACGCTGGCCGACACTTAAGAAAAGGCTTATAGAAAAAGAGACCAAGCGCTCAATAGCAAGCGTTGACTTCTTTTTGACGTTTGGGTTTTTTTTGTGCTTTTGGGTTTTTGATTTGTTGTTGTGCAAAAAGTAAAACTTGTTTTTGTTGTTACAGTGCGCGGTGATTGCGACGATTTCATAAGCAGAGCCACAGCCAGAGCCAGGCCAGAGCCACCGCTAGCGGTAGCAGTTGTAGCCAGTTGAACTGGGAGCGCGGCGCACTCAGCCGCGTCGCCGCCAACTTTGAGTTGAAAGTGAAAGTCAGCAAGTGGCGAGCCGCGAGCCGTGAGCCGCGAGCCGCGAGTGGCGAGTCGGCAGTCTGAGTTTGAGTTTCGGCCACGAGCACCCAGATTGACCGAGTCGTAGTCGTGCCGTGAACTTTGCCGTGCGCATTTATTGAAATTGCAATTCACAATTCGCTTAATTGTTTTTCTCATTTTGTCGGTAAATTTTCACTCATTAGTGGCTCGCTGGTAGCGGTACGCGGCGTATGCGTAATATCGCAACATCTCAGTTCATTCAGCCCAATTATGCGGCCAATCAATAGGCCAAGTTAAAATTGATCTGACGCAAATTGCGATAAATGGCACGGCAACTCGGCCATCAATCTTAGGCGCAGCACTTACATAGTTAGTTACTTATCAGATTGATTGGCGTGGGTTACGCCCTCGAGGCGTGATGCCAAATCAACATTAATCAGACCGAAGCAGTCGTGAGTTTGTTAGAGTTTCGATGCCATATTAAGCTACTGACAGCTGGAATGGGCTTCCCAAATTTTGACTCTCTTCTTTGACTTTTCAAAGAATTACGTCAAAGTTTTATGGCGTAATTAATGCAAAGCTAAAAACTACATCAGAGAAGATATATCTCAAGGGCGAATATCGAAATGAGATTTTTATCCAAATCTTACTAGATTATAAATATAAATATATAAGTCATAGGTTGACATTAGAGTGTAAACAAGATGAACTCGTCTTATCCGAACAATTAATTGCTTTTTTTATTATATTTTGTTAGCAACTGCAATTTCAATATTTGTTAAACAAAATCTAAAAACAAATTAACAAATATTTTCTGTGTACACCAAAAATATTTGTTTTTTTAGACTTCACGTCGATAAGAATTAGTTAATTAAAGCAAGCAAACTTGTATGAACATGTTCTGTTTTATACAGTAATACGATTTGATATGGATGCGTGATATAGTAGCAGATTATTGCATATAATTCCCAATAAATAATAAATTATTTTTAAATGTGATACAATTAGAAAAACCTGTCTAAGTGTATTCAAAAGAGTGAACTTCCTCTTTTAGATAAGACCTGGCGAAGGCAAACTCAAACCTATGTTGAAAACTGTATCAGTAAACAGTGCTCCAGGTGCAAAAATATTATCAAATACGTTGGTTTGTTGTTCATAGCCAAAGGCAAGGCATTGACTTTGATGGCATGACAGCTGCTCAGCTAGGGCTTAGCTGCTTAATGCAACTATGAAGGAGGCGTGGCCGTTGCAATTTTACGCCCCAAACTGTCAGGAGTTGTCGCATTGGCACTGAGTGGAAAATAAAAATGTTGTTGCCGGCAATCGACAATCTACAACCGACAGCCGACAATTTCCTCATGCCACAGCGGCAAACGAAAGTTAGGCATTGCATTTTTTAATTGCTGTTTCGCTTTCTGAGCCCAACTCACCAACATCAACAGCAACACCAACAACATCACCACATACACACACACATATACATAGACACGCAGATGCAATAAAAATAAAACAGTTTGCAGATGCATTCAGCTCGTTTGGCAGCTTGGCTGCTTGACTGGTTGTCAATAATTAAATAAAGAGCAGCGCAACCATCAATAATGAGCCAAATTCAATCCAACGAGGTGTTGAAAATCATAGCAATCCGAGTCAAGCCAAGGCTAATTAACCGGCGTGAAAACAAACACAAAAAACATTTCAAGAGCCGCAATTTGATTCTCTAAAGTCGCAAATAAATTTTTGATTTATAAGAATCCAAAACAAGAAATTAGGCATTTGAATACGAATTTATAAAAATATTTATTAAAAACAGGCTAATTAATTATTTATTATTATTATTAATTAAT